AAGCCTGACTCATTCCTGGGGCTCGGTGTGCAAGGCGCTGGGAAATAACCCTTTTGGGGTTGGGGTATTTTTTTTTTTCTGCTTCCTGGGAAATAACCCTTTTTTTTTTTTTTTTTCTCCAGAAAAACGCGGATTCTTCTGTGCTTTTTTGCTACTTTCCGTTCACAGAGAGCGCAGAGCTCTGGCAGGAAGTAAGAGCTCATGAATGCTTTCGGGAAGCATGAAGAAACTTCGTTGCTGAAGAACCCCCCCTCCAGCAAAGCCTTTGCCCTGACAGGCTCGCAGCTGGAGATGCGCGGGGCAGGGGGGAGAGGAGGGCAGGGTGTGCGGAAGAGCTGGGCACGCAGTCAGCCCCTTCTCTGACACGGAGAACATTTTGTAGGGAGCCGATTCCTACAAATAATGAAATTCACCGCAGGAAAAAAAAAAATCACAAAACAGATACCAATCTACTCCGTCTCCATTGGGGAAAACACACATCTGGAGTGCCTAATTCCCAGCTCTCCTAGCTGGTACCCTCCAGCACATGCTTTTCTGGACCTCAAGGATGATTATGGTCCAGCTCCGGAACCGGCTCTTATGGTGGTTTAACTGGGAGGGAGTGGACCCAGATCACTTCTTAGAATGGGAAGTATAGTTTAACTAAGTGGGTTTATAACTCAAAAAGTGTGTGTCAAGGACTTGGCATCATATGCTGATTAAAAAAGAGATACAATACTGTACAAACGAAAATAATTCATATCAGAAAACAGCATACGATATAATTACTCTAGCTGGACTCACAGTGCTACCGAGCATATATGAAATCCCATAGCTTAACTAAAATTTGTTTTCCTGGCTTCAAAACTGACCCCAGCAATCCCACATGCCCTTCCTATTTCTCAGGGGTTTAGAAGCAGCACCTGGGGGGCTGACAAGGGGAAAGTGGCTGAGAGCAGAAGGGAGAGCTCTGATTTCCCCTGGAGAAAAGAGGGAGCTGGTACCACTCACCCCTTCAAGGAAAAGGCCAGTGGCATGTGAATGTTTGCAGCAGACCACGCATGCTTTGAAAGAACTTAATTTATGTTCATAATGTATTTTAGTTTAAATCACAGAAATTCCTCAACAACTTCTGAAGTCCAGGATTTACCAGAAAAAGATGCTAAAGTTAATGGCTAACCCTGTAACCTTTAAATGTGAAAGTGTCAAAGATTCAAATACACAGATCAAATATTTTTTTAAAAAAGATGTGAAAAATCACATCACAAGGTTCATATGTACATACACTACCTTCCTCCATTTCTCTGTTTTGTAATGTTGATAGTTTTCTTAAATGCATCTTCTTTCCCTCTTTCTTTTTTGCTCTTTCTTTCTTTTTCTTTCTTTTTCTTTCTTTTTCTTTCTTTCTTTCTTTCTTTCTTTCTTTCTTTCTTTCTTTCTTTCTTTCTTTCTTTCTTTCTTTCTTTCTTTCTTTCTTTTTC